TGTTTACGTACATTATATGACAATAAGACTGAAAAAAAATATTTTAACAAATCCTTCTTTACTGGCCCTGTGCAAGTTTCTAGTAAGAATATTATAATAATATCTCCGCGCCGTAAGATCCTTCGAGCGAGGTCTTTCGCTCAGTATCAGGTAGGCTGTGCATGGAACGAACAAATCATCGTTACGCACGTTCATTGCGATGAATCGAGTATACCCATAGAGATTCTCGACATCGGACTACTGAAATATCAATAGTCTGATACAGAAATATAACCATGAAATATTATAAAATTATCGAAACACTTTAGCTAAAAGATTTGTGTGGTTCCTTTCTTAATATTGTTTGTTGCACTTTCAAACTGTTATGACAGTAGTTAAATAAATGTAAAATTAGTTAAACTTTCTTTTTATAAATATCTTCATACATTCACTTTAGGCATATTTACTGAATTGTTCTGAACAGTGAATTTCAGGTATACTGTTTTTAATAATCGAATATGAATGAAAGCGCATGTTTTATATCATTAAGTAACTCAGCCAAACGATTCAGTAAAATTAATAGCAGATTAATGGTGCCCCCCAGTAACGCAGCGGTATGTCTGCTGATTTACAACACTAGAAACCGGGTTTCGATACCCGTGGTGGGCAGAGCACAGATAGCCCATTGTGCAGCTTTGTGCTTAATTAAAAACAAACAAAGAAGCTTAATGGCACTTTTTAATGAATTAGTAATAAATCTAAATTTTGACGGAAATTTTATGTAACTTAGAAATGAAATACTAACATTGTAAATATAGTTAGTCGGTAACTCACTTAAGTTTGGGACTTTTGTAGCAACTATAATTTCTTAGAACCAGTTTTATCAAATGAGGTTATTATAAGCTTTTTCGGCCACTATTTAGTTACAAATAAGGAATTTCTTTCTGCAATGACTCAGATTCAAACGTTTCAAAGTGTAGTTTACTTTCTTTAAAACAAAATACTTCCGTTCATAAATAAAAACAACAACTGGAAGAAAAAATCACTAGAGCAAAGAAACAAAAAAGATGTCTTCAAAAATATCATAAAAGTTGGTCATTATAACTAAAAGTGTTACAGAATATAAATAAGCTCATAAAAATGATTTACCTTCTGAGAGAATTTAAGCTGATAACTGTACACACACCTTACAACTCGTCACTGTCTTATATAATTTCATAAACTCAAAGGCAAATTAGGACAAAATGTAAAATCAACTACCTGTATTATTGTTACTTACTTGTTTTTATTATATTCGGGATATTAACTTTAGTTCAATCATCAATCGTGAAAGAGACTACGTTTGGTTTTATTGTTGTTGTTTCGAATTCATAGAAGGTTTTCTTTGGTTGAGTAATAAACCTTCTACCGGTTACATTCATGATTTATACCAAAGAACTTGAAGATGAATAGATAACATTAGAAACATGTCTTTATGCATTTTTTTTTCAAATATAGATATTGAAATAACAATACCTGTTTTTAGTTTATCTGTTGGTAAATCTTAGATATTTTCATTTAATATTTCATTGACTTCCATCTTGTAACTGTAACATTCCAAAATTTGTTGATATAGTTGTATATATTTCGCAGTTTAGTGAATTCTCTTCTACCTTTTCTGATAAAGAAGTATTTGATTCTTAAACTGTACCTTCATAGACTGCAGCTAATTTAAATTAGTTGTTTTTCAGTATATTTAAACCTCGTGTAATTATTAACACCTAATTTTCATTTTTGCTAGTTACACTTTTCACTTTCAATCAGTTTTATTTCTCGTTGTTTCTCACCACAGTAGGTGCAGATTGAAGGCTCTTGCATAACTTATTTTCCAGGTAACAACTAAGCAAATTATTTATAATGACTACACTTAAGACACATGAGAATGTGTGTTTTTGATATTAACATTGTGTTTTTTCTGCGTTTTTTAGTCCTTTCGTCAATGTATACATAATTCTATTTCTACTGGTTTACTTATTTTTGTATTGCCAGTAGATGTTCTGCTTTAGTAAGGCTTGATTATGTTTTATGAATGACGTCCCAACATCGCAATTCTAGACATTGATCCCTTCATAAAAAGAACCGTAGAGTATTTAAAGGCAAACCTAGTGTACTCGAGATGTACTCCATCTTTTCATTGGCACAGACAGGTGAAACGAAAGTAAATAACGAGGATAATGAGATTGAAACTGTAGAACGATATACAAGAAAACATAGCTTTTATTTTTAACCTGAATATTACTTTATATAACACTTAAGCGTCACACATAAGTCAGAGACCATAAGGTTCAGGCATAGCTATCCCTATTTTTCAACCACCGACTAGAGAAAAGGCAGTCTATCAACAACAACCGTTGTCTAACGACACTGAGCAGAATATCGGGAATGGATTATAACAGCTGATAGTGTGGAGCATGTTCAGCGGTATATCACTAGCTGAAACCTTGGACTTTCCCAACAACAGCTTGGCGCACCAAAAACTATGGCATGTCGAACCTAATAAATGATATTTATACTAGAATCGTAACGTACACGGCATGGTAAGGGAGCAACGCAATAACTTTGCTAGTTTAGATCGGAATAAAGGAAATCTGAGACAGTAATTTATATACATTACTTTAGAATAAAAAATGTATGAAGATAAGTTTTTAACACGTACATGAGTAAAGCAATATAGTGGCAATATTATACCACGTATAATAAAACACAGTAAACAAAGATGGTGTATTAACACATGGTTTAATAAATTGGGTTTAGTTTTGATGATGGACAGCAAACTCACAATATCAAGAGAATATCCGTTTGTGACAGTTGTAAATAGGAAGTTGGAATAAGTGCTTTGTAGGCCTTTTTCAGAAACTTTATTCTGTTTCATTTTATTTTTTGTAAAACCCACAGTCAAAACTACTGTAGAGTAAACTGACATGGCAATTAATTGTTGAACGATTTCAATTTCTGTTTGACGATTTGGGTGCTCTAGGTAGAAGAATGTTCAAGTGAAAAGATTGCTTTGTGCAATGATGACTAGGTACAAAATAAACTGTTAGATCGATGGGAAATAAAACTTAAGGTACAGGAGAGAAGGTGTATGTTGATTGATTTGAACTTTCACTCTCGAGTGTTCACTTGTTCATGGACGACATGCTTTCTAGGTAATGAAATAAAGATTTGAATTGGTAAATTTAAGTAAAATGATTTTTCGCTAGAAAGTGACAAATTCTAAGAAAGGTGTTTTTGAGAGAAGTCTCTATTAATTTATGGTAAAATAACTTCGATAAACTTTTATAACTTTACTGTGCAAAGTTTTGTCCAATGGATGCCATCTGCTAGAAAATGATATATATTCAGGGCTGCATTTATTTTATTGGTAGTACGTTTATTACCCAAGTGACAAAATAAAAGAACAAAAGCATTGTTCTGGTGATGCCGGTTTAATGCCATTAAAATGTCGATGCATCCTTATAATGTCTTCCCCTCTCCCTAGATGACTCAGCGGTAAGTCTGCGATGGGCACAGTACAGATAATTCGTTGTGTAGCTTTGTGCTTAATAGCAAAAAATAAACAACTTTGTCTTTTAAATCCCCCTTTTTGATATTTTTTTACCTAATTTACTAGCTTTGTACATAATCATCATTAAATTAGGAATTAACTAAAACAATAATTATACCTTCACTAATATACGTATCTAATTTAAATCTATTAATTTCATACAGTAATTGGTCAACTGAATACATGAAATGAGTAATATTATTTTATGTATCACATCAACTAATGCTTATGTGTGTGTGTGTGTGTGTGTTATTTAACCAACTAACTGATAATTTGTTAAGTTTTGGTGACAGATTTATCTTTAACTCATATTTATATTTTCTTTGACAAAAATTCAATATCCAGTCCCTTCCTGTTACTTTTTCAGTTATCTATTTGTTTACGTTTTAGTGTTACATGGCTCTAGACGTGTATAAGCAAATATATAAATAGGAATGAGGAAACAAAATATAGTATATAGGAACGTAGTTGTCCCTTCATAAAATATGACAAATGGTTTCATCCACGATATATAAACATTAAACAATGTTTGAAAACTGTAGTATAAGGAGTGAGACTAACGAAGGTAAATTTCCTATGCAGTGTAGGAAAAACAACAAAAGAATGTCAGACAAAACTGGCACTGCGAAATGTTTGGATGTTTCAAATATACCCATTCGCTTAATTAACACAAACGATCCCAAAACATCTTAAAGGACACCAAAGTTTCAAAAAAAATCAACACTAAACAAAAGACACTAGTACAAATTAAAAAAAAAAACATGACGTTTCTTTGGTTTACTACACTGTGTTTTAATTATTGAACGTAATTTCTACCAAACTGTGGTGTCATTTGGTGTATATGAAATTTGTACAAAAATGCAGTAACGGCTATTTTTCTATTAGCTTCCTCTTTTTCCTAGACATTTTATTAAATAACAGTTGTTCGAATTTGTGGTCCTCTGGAAGTAATTTGAGTTCTTTCAGGATATTATTTATAAACCCTGATGGTAATTACACGGTCCTGAATATCTCTAAACAAACACAATATTGTCAGTTATGTCTATTACGTTTCTATCTATCTTAGTTTACAAAAGTTGTATTACAACTTTTAAAAGGATCAGAATACAATTTCTTCAATGCAAACGTGCCACATTGTAAAAAAATACAATTTATTCAGGAGCTCAATATAATTAACCTACCAAAATAGTAAATGAAAAAAAAAAATCTTAAGGATCTAAAATAAAATCCGGAAATTAAATTTATCCCTTCTTTTGTGTATTGTAATACTACATCTCTAAAATGTACTGTAAAAGAGAATGTGTGGTGATCAACTATAAGAACAAAATAAAATCATGATAGAAATGAGCTTAACCGTTTCACTTACTTTAGATAATTAGAAAAAAAATTACCTTTACCCCGTAACGTTTGATTAGTGAACTGTCAACTAACTCACCATCCGCATCGTAGTGGCTCCAAACCTCCATAAACTGTGCAGATGTCAGATTCTTCAGTTTTCTGGTATTTCTGTCCCGAAACTGTCTCATAAAGTTATAGTTCTTCTGGCATACTGATGCTTTGTATATGTACTCGGCCATTGTGACTGATGCTAAAACTAACGAAATGAATATGCTTTCGCCACAGCGGATGTTGTAAAGTCTTTTTTATTCTCTATCTTCTTAGCTAAACTTTTATGTGGCCTTCACTTTGATCTATGGCTATGAAAAAGAGACCAGGTGTAACTAAACAGACAACAAGCTGTAAAACAGACAGGATTACTCTGACAGACCTACCTCACACACCATACTGCGCAAGTGCAATATCGATTAGACTACCTGCAGAAATACTAGCTCTCTCTGCGTGTCTTTTCTTTTATCAACAATAGTCTGTTTCTTTAACAACTAACATTTTATTATGAACCAGTGCTTTTTCTATTTCGTCATTAATTTTTAACTTTAGAGTGTCAAAGCATCTAAATGGATGTACGCGAACTCCATGTCAAGAGCTCATGAAAAACACCAAAACATTTTAACAGTATATCTTATAAAAATCAATGAAATATACTGTCAATCTATCCGCCTATTAAAAGACAAATTATTTAGTAAAAAATTGGTGATTAGAAGTTTAAATCACAAACAAGAGCTATATAACAAATTGAATGAAGATGATTCAAGTTTTCTTATAGAGTATGCATTTCAGGTATATGTGAGACGGTCATAACAACCACTACTACTAATAAGTACCAGAAGGCAAGCGCGTTTAAGACGACATTACTTGTCTATGTGGTAAGTAGAAAATCATGTAAGCTTTCTATGTATTTTTAAAAATATATCCAGCAATAAAAACCTTTAGAAGTTAATAACTCAGTGATCAAGTATTCTGCTCACTGCATAATGAATATGTTCATTAAAGATTGTACACCAGAAATTATCTATATGTTAATCAAGAATTCGTTGTTTCATTAATCTGTTAATCAAGGATTCTATTCAATGTATCATTAATATTTTCATCAATTATTCTGTTCACTGCAATATTAATATGCTCATTAAATTTTGTATTCATTGCATTACTAATTTGTTTATTAAAGATTCTAATTAACTGCGTAATTAATCGGTTAATCAAAGATTTTAATCACTCCAACTTTAATCTGATAATCATGGATGTTACTCAGTACATCTTTAATCTATTGATTAAATATCCTACTCACTATAGCATTACTCTGTTAATCGAAGGTTGTACTCACTGCATCATAAGTATTTCCTTAAATATTCTACTCATTACACCATTAATCTGCTGATCAATGATTCTACGCACTACATCGTCTATCCATTCATAAAAAGTCCAATTCAATGTACCATTAATCTTTAGACCAGGATTATATACTTCATCATTAACCTGTTGATCAAAAATTCCACTCATTGTGTTATTATTCTGTACATCAAATCTTCTATTCACTGCATTATTAATCGGTTGCTCAAGGATTCTACTCCCACAATCATTAATCTATTCACCAAAAACTCTACTCTGTATTATTAAATTATTGATCAATAATTCAACTTACTTCATCATTAATCTGTCGATTAAAGATTCCTTACTGCGTCATTAATATTTTCATCAAAGATTCTACAAATTACATCATTAATCTGTTCATGAATGATTCTACTTACTGTAACAGCAAACTTTGTTCAATAATTCTAATCATTGCAAAATTAATCTGTTCGTCAAGGAGTCTACTCAGTACTTGGTTAATCTGTGATCAAGTATACTGTTGAATGCATCATTAATCTATGAATCAGGGATTCTAATAACGACATCATTAATCTATAGATCAGATATTCTTCTTACTGTGTAATTTTTCTGTGAATCAAACATTCTTTTTATTGCATAATATTTCTAGTGACCAAATATTATTCTTAGTTCGTAATTTTTCTGCTCATCAAATATTCTGTATCATCACTCTCTTGGTCAAAAGTTCATGTCACTGCCTCATTTATATATTGACTATTAACCCGATGACCCAGTATTCCACTTACCGCATCATTAATCTCCTCATCAAGAATTATAATCACTGCATCATTAACCTCTTCATCAAAGATTCTACTCGCTGTATCCTTTATCCCTTGATCAAAGATATTACTCACTGCAATTAATACCGTATTTTTACGTAAATATCCCGACCCCTGGTATACCCCGCACCTGAGGAAAAAAGTGCTCTAAGAAACTTTTAGACACGCATTACCCGCACTCGTGTATACCCCTCAAGCCAGCGACACAGGCAAATTTTGGAAGGCAAGAAAAATTATAGAATCCTTTTACATTAACACAATGAAACCTTCACTAAACAGATATTCCGAATTTGAGGTGAGTAAATGGATGACGGAGGGCCTGCACGAATATACAGCCGCAGAGAAAATGAAGGAGGCCAGCTATGCCGAAGTTTGCCGTTGGGTTGTAGAAGCATGAATTGCTGTCAAAGTATCAACCATTCTGAATGCTTTTAAGAAACTTGGACTGACATCTGGGGAAGTGGAGCGATGACGATGTGAATTGCAACACACCTACACGCCGACTCAGAGCTGTTCCAGCTGTTTCACAGCGACATAGAATATGAGGATTTTGACGGTTTTACGGAAGGCGATTTACCTTTAAATTTGATTTAAATAAAACATTAGAAGGTTGTGTACATACGTTCATATATTTTCATTTAAGAGATGTGATTTAATTTTCTGCTGTTGCTATGCGTTGTACGAAGAAAACTGTACTTATTCGGGGAGAAACTATATCGTTTATTATAGTCTTTTAATTATTTCATATCAAATTAGATATTTGCATGTAACATGTGCAAAATAACTGTTATTAAAGATATTACGATCAAAAAAGTTTGTATCTTGTTGATAATTTAACTCGATCCCCTGTGGTTATGTCACGTGATGAACCCAATCACAGGTTAAAGTTTATGGTGACGCTATGGAACAGACTGAAAGTGAAACCTACTTGTCTTGGAACACATGAGCAATTAATTAAGTCGCAATTGTACTCTATTCAAATACTGATAAATACAGTCAAAAGTACTCGTACTTATACTTTGTCCTTTGACCAGAGAATAACTGGGATTGTTAACAGACGTACTTATCGGCCGATTGGTGAATCGCTCCACGTGTTGAACAAGAACATCAACGAATATTCGGAATAGAAAATTGGTGAATTCAGTCTTAAAAACAAACAAACAAAAGATACCGTATCACCAGCACACGAATATACCCCACAGTTGGCATTTTTTAAAACTAATTTAACACATAGCCCGCGGGTTATATGCGTCAAAATACGGTGTGTCATCAAAACTTTTACTCTCTACAACATTAATCTGTTTAGTTAAGGTTTCAATTTACTAGGTCATCAATCTGTTCATCAATAACTTTATTCAATGCGTCATTAATTTTTGGATCAAGTACTCTATTCGCTGCACCATTAATCTGTTGAGTAAAGGCTGTACTCATCTCATCCTTATTCTGTTGATCAAGGATTTTATTCATTTCATCATTAACCTATTGATTAGAATTTCTACTTACTGTAAGATTAATTTGTTCATGAATGATTCTGCTTAATATATCATTAGTCTACTGATTAATGATTCTAATCCCTAGCTCATTAGTCTGTTGATCAAATATTCTACTCACTTCATCTTTAATTTGTTCATCAAGGATTCTAGTCACTGAATCTTTAATCTGTTATTCATGAATTATCTTCACTGCATCATTTCTCTTTTCAACAAAAACTGTATTCACTGCATCATTACTATTTTTATTTATTATTCTACTCACTACATCATTACTCACTACTACTCAATAACTCATTAGTCTGTTTACCAAATACTCTACTCACTACATCAATAATATGTCATCAGAGATTCTATTGACTACATCATTTCTCTGTTGATCGACGACTCAATTAATTACATGATTAATCTACCTGATTAAGGATTCTACTTTCTACATCGATAATCTTGTCATCAGGTATTCTCTCACTCCGTTATTAATTTATTGATCAAGAATTCTACTCATTCAATCATAAATATCTTGATCACACATTCTACTTACTGCATCCAGTATCTACTGTTCAAGGATTCTTCTCACTGCGTCATTAATTTGTTTTCAATGGATTCCATTTACTGCATCATTATCCTGTTCATAAGGGATTTTACTCACTGCATGATTAATATGTTGATCAACAATCCAAGTTGCAACATAATCAATCTGTTCACCACGGATTCTTCACTGCATTATTATTTCGTTGATCAAGAATTCTATTCACTGCATCATTAATCAGGTAACTATTTCTCTCACCGTCTCATTAATCTGTTGTTAAAGAATTTTACTAACTTCACTATTAATCTGTTTAACAAGGACACTACTAATTGTATCATTAATCAGATAATCAAGGATTCTTCTCACTCCATAATTAATACGTTCAGTAAAGATTCTAAACACTAAAGTATTAATATGTTGATAAGGGATTCTACTTACTCAAAAACTAATACTTTGATCAAACATTCTACTTACTACCTCATTAAATTATTCGTGAATAATTCTACTCAGTACATCGTTAATCGAGTCAACGATGATTTTACACAATCCAAAATTAATATTCTGATAAAGGCTCTTACTCACTGCATCATTAATCAGTTGATTAAGTAATCTAGTTACTGTAAAATTAATCTTCCCATCAAGAGTTCTACACAGTTAATTATATATATGCCATCAGAGATTCTACCTGCAACCTAAGTAATCTGTTAATCAAGGATTCTATTCAATGTATTATTAATCTTTTAATCAACTATTCTATTCACTGCAGCATTAATGTGTTCACTGACTTTTCTACTCATTGCGTAACTAACTTGGATTCTAATTAACTGCATCATTAATCAGTTGATCAAAGATTCTGCTCATTCCAACTTTAACCTGTTAATCAAAGATGCTACCTCACCACATCATTATTATTGATTAAGTATCCTATTCATTGTATTATTGGTCTGTTAAACAAAAATTCCACTAATTCCACCATTAATCGGTCGATCAAAATTCTTCTAACTCTGTCTGTTAGTTAAAGATTCTATTCACTGTATCATTAATCTGTTGTTGTTTTTTCATGGATTATTTTAACTGTCATCATATAGCTGTTCATTAAGGATTCTTCTTATTACATCAACAATCTAGTAATCGAGGATACTACTCACTCCATTATTAGTCTGTTGTACATATATTATACTGTCTTAGTGATTAA